GTAGTCAGCCAATAGCGTGCCTGACGGACTCTTCAAGAGACGCCCACAACAGGCAGGAACAAATGTGTGAATTTTGATATTGATTAAAAATAGCAGAAGCTAATTGGTCTGCTAATGGTTTCCAAAGTTTGTGAAAATGCTAATCTGCTAAACAAAAAAAAGTTAGCTTCACTATTAGCTGTTAGCAGATTAGTGGAACTGTTCGTTTGTTATCGATGAGCTGTTTATAGAGTGAAACTGAAAAAGACAAATGATTTCCTGCAGCATCACTCTGTGGCTGAGTGAGTCTGTATGAGAAGGCGCTTCGCTGTCTTTGTAGGGTGTCATGAAGAGGGTGGAACTGGCCGTCCTTAATGGAGAGCAAAAACTTAGTGACTCAAATGTCTTCAAGGTTTTGAACTTACTGAGCCTCCATCATGGTCCAGGTGTGAGGGCATGCTGCAGCAGAGCAGCATCACCGGTCCCCTTCTCACCACGATGGGCGAGGAGCCTCCTCTCCAAAGTCTTCACAAGGTGACATCATGGCCAGGTCAGATGGGGTGCTTTCTTCTGTGTTGGCACTAGGCGGTGCAGAAGAATGCTAAAAATCCAGTTTTTCCCTCCACATGTGGAAACAAAATCTGGGCCACGTTACCTTCAGTCTGAATGTAACAGATAAGGTACTATGGAAGAGTACTTGACAATAAATATCTTACTAGTTGTAGATAGTCCTGTGAACGACCTCCATCTGTAGATTTAGAGTTCTGAGTAGGTAAAGACCACTGCGGTCATAATCTGAAGTTTTATAAACCTTTACACTGCAAATTTTAAATTACAAGTCTAGAGGGTACGTTACATTCATTTAATAAGGATGAGGTTTAATATGAAACTATAAAATCTGGTATCAAGTGGGCACAAAAATTTACGTCTGCAAATCTAACGTGAACTGTGAAAGAAAGGACAAGCGGTGAGACTGGAATGAGAGAGTGGTACTTTATTTATTTGTTTATTTATTTATTGACACAACAGAGCTGAAGGACAAACAACTAAAACTGTGAGAAGGTCCCATCTAAATAAAAACCTTTTAAACAGTCGTGCTCTGTGTGTGTTTGAACGCACCCCCACCTCAGATACCTGTCTCCTGGGAAACCTGCTAGGAAGAGCATTTCAGAGGACGTGTGCACGCACACGCACACACACGCGCGCACACACCAGCCTTGTGTGTTTAAAATGTGATGAGGCGTCAGCCAATTGAATTTCTCTCTTCATGGGATGTTGTCCAATCAGAACACGGCATGCTGACACACCCACAGGAGTGTGTGTGGCGATGCTGAGGTGTGTGTGTGTGTGTGTGTCAGACTCCCAGCAGGCTCTGATGTTCTGCTGATGTTGGACCTTTGGGAGAAACCGAGGAGTCCGAAGCCCTGACTGCTGCTGCCTCTGTGAAACAGGAACACACCTTTAATTCAAATCAGCAAAGATTTAATTACACACACACAGAAACACACACACGCTGAGGGCAGTCACGAATGGTCAGCAGTGGTGAAATGTGTCTCATGTTAAATTCAGCAGCTCAGCAGAAGCTGCTGAACTTTCCTCCATTTTATCACAAGCAGCAGATTCATTACAGAGCTGCCAAGATGGAGGCCTGACGGTCCACAGCTGATTAAAGGAGCAGTCGGCACAAAATGAAACTGTACCCAGAGGCCTTCTTCTTCTGTTCAAACTGAAACTTCAGCAGCTTGTTCGGAGTTAAATCAGAAAACGAGCTGTCGTCAAAATCCAACATGGCTTCCCTGCTCATGAACAGTGGTGATGGTCGCCATAATAAACCAGTTTCTCTTCTGTTGGTCCGAGTCCCGTCAGGTGCACATGCAGTTCTGTACTTCGTTGTAGTGATCAGGCGATTTAGGTCCTGTCCACATCTGCATCAACATCCACCCCATCTTCTGTAGTTATTGTCCGAGAGGCCGTGGACACCTTGGACAGTCCTTCACAGGATCAATTTAAAGTTATTAAACTGGTGCAAATGGGGAGAACATGCCATCTCCACACAGAAAAGCCAACTGCAGTAACCGCTGCTCCACTGTGCCATTCATCAAGCGCAGCTCGCCTGCAAGTGGACAGCGGAGTGACCCTGCAGATTAAATCGTTCAGAAGAATCTTCCACTTGCTGTTCGAACTAAATCTGGTGCGAGTTGGCCTTTTCATAAAATCCAAGATGGCGGCCATGCTGCTGTCAGCCGTTCATGGAAAACTGAACCGGGGCAGAACCTCACTGCTTTATCAAAATCCATAAATTAATTTATATCTTAACCTCACAATACATTCAAGTCTCTCGTTCATGAAATGGACCATTACTGCCACTAGTTTTAAAATATTTGACTTTTAGACACGTTTTTTTTTGGGTGGAAATGGAGTTGGTCCAGAACATTTGTGTCAAAGTCTCTGCTTGTTAAACCAAATATCATCTGCATATTAAAGCATTCACACCTGGAACAGGACAGGCATTTGATTCTCCGAATGCTTCTGTAAACATTTTTTATTCTTGTATTCACTCGTTCCTGTACAAGCTAACGTTAGCATAGCAGCCCAGTAGCTGCTCCAGGAAGTTAGAAAATGTAAAGTTTAAAACTCCCATGAATGAGTTGAGGTCGTTTACGATCACGTCTGGATTGGGCCTGAATGAGTTTTAAATTAGAAACACACGACAAAAAAGGTAGTTCCATCTGTTTATTGATTAACTATAAAATATTGACTTACTAAAACAATTCCAAAGAAACACTGACAAACGTGGTTGCTGTCTGTAAAAAAAAAAAGTTTCTTACACATACAGTATAGGGTGACAGAATATATCTAGTTTCAGATTTCTCTCTAAAATGTACTCTTTTTGCATTTTTTTTACAAGATTAGACATGTGTACAAAGTATACTCTGATAGCTTTCTTCCCTCAGCGGCGAAGGATCATTTACAAAACGTAGATGGTTCTTATATTTTCAAAATAATCTTTTTCTCTGTAACAGGACGATAACGATACTGAAGGAACAGCAGACGAAGAACCAGCCTCCAGTCCACCTCTCTCTCTCTCATTCTCTCTTTTGCTCGCTCTCCCATTCCTCTCTTTCTAGCAGCTAGCTCCCTGTGCCCATCAGCAGGATCGCTTGAGAGGCGTGGACGATTGTTCAGGGGGGGGGGGGGGGGGTTAATATACATAAAGAAATCACAGCAAAAAATACATTTTAAAAGGCATGCAGCGACATTTGAAATGACAATAAAATTAACATTTACAAAGGCTCTTAAAATATAAAAAACAAAGACGTAGTGGGATAAATGTGTCGGACCCTGTTCAAAGGCTTTGGGTGGGGGTGGGGGTGGGCAAAATAAGAGATGGAAAGGCAACACCACATACCTTAAAGGGTTTAAAGGTGTGTGTTTGTGTCGTCACTCAGATATACACAGAAAAAAAGTGCTTCAGCAGCTCAAGGGGTAAACATTCATAACGGGCACTTGAACCTGTTCACTCTGAAAAACTTCGGTGCGACCAGAACTTCCAAACGGACGTCCGCTCAAAACATCGGACTCTGACATGAGAGCAGCAGCGTAGTTCAGATCTTTTAAAGCTCTGTTGCAAAGATTATGAACAATAAATATCTTACCTGTTGTAGAAAGCTGTTTGAGTTCGTGCTGGACAAACCAGGTTTAATTTTGTCCAGATCGATGAGCTAACGGCTAGTCAGAGAGAGGCCGAGTCTGAAGTGAATCAACGACTTCAACAACTTCGACCTGAAAACGTTTGGAGCAGTTCCTGCAAACGTTGCTCAAGTTTAACGACGTCAGTTTTACAGTACACCACCATTTCCATTGAATTCAGCTGTAGCACCTCCTGCCTGAATATCCTGTTTCCACCAGATTAACCACGCCAAGTAAATTTGACAGTGATGTAGAAATGTAAAGTATTTTGTTTTTGATGATCCGTGTAGCAGAACTCAACAACCACGACTTGAACTGATGAACGTCAACAAAATCAAAGATCCTCGGGTGAACAAAAGAAATTTTCACTTTCGTCAAAAAAAACACTGCAGCTTGACGAAAGTGAAAATAAACAAACTTATGTTGTTCTTTGTTTATTGTTGCCTTCGCTATAAACATTTTGAAACTGGAGTTGCTTTAGAACTAAACAATTAAATTTTGATATTTTCTGTAATAAGACTAGACTTTAGCTCGTCACTCTGAACAATATTAAACGTGTTCTCCAAACTGAGCTTGTTCAAATGAACCATCTACAACAGGTAAGATGTTTACTGTTCAAAACATTTCCATAAACCCCACTTCAAAGTATAGGAACTATCGTTTTTAAGGGGAAATGTTGGGAAATAGAAGATTTCAGTAAGCTAGAAGTATAGCACATAGAGTCTCTGTACCTGGTTTCAACAACTTTAAATACTAACAGATTAGCAGCACAATATTAACCGTTACTGGGTAGTTATAACATCTGGATTACAGATTTAATCTCAACAAAATGACGTGCCTCGTTGTTTTAAAAAGAAAACACCAGATTAGCTCTTCCTCTCAACGTCATCTAACCATCTCAAAATAATAATAATAAAAAAAGAGATTATGATCAAGCAAATGTAGTAAACACCAGAAGGTCTCAAAGAGAGTAGAAAATATTAAACCTATTGAATATCAACAAGAAAGTCTTCAATCTCTGCAGCGAGGCAGAGCGACGTAAAGAAAGAGGAACGCAGCCAGCGGTGTGGTATTTACACAGATACGTGTGATAAATAGGCAGAGCGGGGTAAATGTTCCTCTGCAGCTTCAACCCATGAAGGACGTTAGAGGAGAGCAACAAAAAAAGATTTGGCAAATCATCCTAAGGCCTGGAAACGTAAGGCAGAGCACTCACAATCCTGAGCACGACATTCAACAGTCACTTAAAATAAAAGACACGTTCAACGAGGCACGTAGAAAAAACACGAGCCACAAACAGGCGGACGGGCGGGTCACATGACATGTGGCTGCAGGTGAGGGTTAGTGGGGGGTGTAGGACTCCAGGACTCCCAGGCACAGAGCCTCCTCAGTCAACGCTCATCTAAACGGCGTCACGCGATTAAAACATGACGTCCATAAAGCAGCCGAGGTGACGCCAAATAAAGAAAACGCAGCGAACAAACACCGGATGTTTGCAGGTGGTGAGAGAAGTGAAGCCCAGTGTGTGGAAAACAAGTGTGAAAGTGAATTATGCTGAACTAATGGGAGCAACAGCTGCATGGTGGGAACCAGCAGCGCGACCTTCATGCCTCCTGGACTGACTGCAGTGTTTACAACCCTCGCTGGGATTCCTATGCCGTCCTCACTTGGGCTCCCAGTCAGGGGCTTCTAGCTTTAAAAAAATAAATAAAGCATCCTGCGTTTCCCAGGATGCCTCCTCCACGGCCTCTCGAAGGCAGCTGTGGAGAAAAGTGTTCTCACTGGATCCGAGCGCGAAACGTATTAGATCCACAAACTGCAGCTGGTTTTCGTTCATAGTGTGTTTTCACTACAAAAGCTGAGAAGTGCTGACACGAGCAGAACTTCCACTTTGTTACGCCTGAGTCAACGATGGAGTTTTTATTATTATTATTAAAACAGGGACGTTCAGTCCGAGTTAGGATTGTCGGGGTGGGGAGGGTTGAAGTGTTTTTAAGTGCTTTGCGCTGTGAGTCTACCTCTCTCTCTCTTTCTGTGCGTCCTGCTGTTCTGTACATACATGTATACACGACTGGAACGTGACTGGAACATCACCACGGCAACGGCACAACACCACACCGGCTTTTTGTTCGTGTCCGTCCCGGAAGAAAACGGACGCGGCGTCTACCGTCATTCACAGTTCGTTAAAGCTTCTCCACTGTTAACATCTTCAAAACGAAACTTACCGACGTAAATCTACAACATGAAAATAAAAACACTCGTATGTTCCTCTAGATAACCGTGTCTTACATGGAGGTGAGTATTTACACTGTGTGCACGTGTGAGCATACATACTGTTTGTGTCTGGGTGTATTTACACGTAAAACGAGCAGAACGTGGTCATGAAGTGTGTGTGTGCAAACGCTTCAGGAGACGATTTGATAATACTGTCTCTGTAGTGTCTCCTGTCTCCTCGAAGTCGCCGAGTCGTTCAGTCCACGGAGAAATGCTCGGAGAGTGAAAAGCAGTGTTGGAGCGCAGGTTGGGCCGGTCTCCAGGTGAGGTCACGGTTTGGTTTCAGTAGCTCGTCTAGCAGATGACCGGGACTCCGTCCGTGTTGAAGATCATGCCGGTCGTGGGCTCGTAGGTGCCGGCCAGGTAGTAGAGGTCCTCGCTGTCGGCGTAGCGGCGGGTGTGGATCATCTGCTCGTACTCCTCCACGCTCACCACGAGACACTTGTGGCTGATGGTCTGCACGTCGTTCTCGTCGTTGTGAGACGACTGGTAGAGGGCACGCTAAAAAAACAAAACAAACCCAGACATTTTAATCAGGAAGTTACTTAATGCAGGACCAAACATAAATTTAGGGCTTAAAAACTGATGAAAAAAAAGGGGAGTAAAAGAACAAACAGATGAACGTCTTCAAAGGAGTTTTTAGGGATTAGTTCGAGCTCATGAGTGTTTTTCTGGACTGGAACTGAAAACCTTAATGTTTTTGGTGCAACATATTCAAGAGGGTAGGAAACACTGTCCAGAGGTAGTTTTTTATTTTGCACGAGGAGGTGCATTGATGGGAGATCCTGGCAGCGGAGGGAGCAATTTTATCCACCGCAAGGTGCATGGGCGGAGCCAGGGGGTGGCCAGTGGTGGTCTCGGCTACCAATGATTGATCTTCAGCCACCCCAATCACTTAAGGGAAACTACACTTTTAAGCACAATAAAAAATAGAAAGCATAGTTTCCTCAAGTGATAGGAGTGATCAGTTTACCTACAACTATGGCGCTGGCCATCTTGGATTTAGAAGCGACACCCCAGTTTTCTAAAGGAACTTTTGTTTTGCCTCGATGCAGCCACGCACAAAATGGAGGTCGGTACTTCACTTATTTATGAAGTTACTGAGCTCACAACGTAAACGGACAAACAGAGGGTATTTCCAGTTCTCCCTTTTCACCCCATGATGGGGGACAACAAACTTTAAAAGGGCTAAAGAGAACAACGTTTATAAAACATGTTGAAGCTGCTGCAAGTGGCTCATTAGTCACCATGGTAACCACACGCCTTCCTTACTCACTCCCTGACAGCAGTCTTCATAAGACAATGGTCTCAAACAAACACTCCCCGTTGTTTTGAGATAAACAACTTTTAAATTGTTTCATGTTAAAAGACACGACAGATTAAAAAGAGCCTTTAAATTCAGTTCAGGGGAGAAAAATCTGAGCTCAGTCAATGAAAGATGTGATTCTCAGTACTCTGAGGAGAGCTGGAGAAAAGACCTTTAACAGTGTGAGACATACTGAAGTCACAAATGTTAACATTTTAAAAAGCGAGTGGGGATAAAGGAGTTTGCAATAACTTTGGGGGGTTTAGTTCGGCCACAAGTTAGTGACGTATCATCCTGTAAGTTGAACATTCTCTTGACTACGAGTCAAGAGTTAGAGCCACAGAACAACGATCATTAAAGGGTTTACAGAAACAAACTCTCGACCAGTAAAATGTTGGGATCACACTCTGAACAATCTGGTGGTTTCTGGTAAACAGCACTGGGGAGAGAAAAGTTCACAGCAACAACCAAGAAGTTGGATGAGCGAAGCTCCGAGAGCTCCGGTTGCCCGTGGGTTCGGTTTATTCTCACCTCTATAAAGTCCTTCCTCTGGATGGACGAGTGCAGAGCAGCTGGCAAAGACTGACCGCACATCTGGTCCCAGTTCTGGCGAGAAAACGAGCTCAAATTATCACAAATCAACACTTTTGACTGAATATGTTTCATACATCGTCTGTAACTAGGGATGCACGATATTATCGGCGTGGTATCGGACGATATTAGCGTTCAAGTTCAATATTGGACATCGGCCATTCCATCAAAATACCTCGCTGATATAAAAGATGTTGTTGTACGACAGCCCAGTGACAAGGATGCCTGCAGCGCCAGCACAACGTGATGACGTCACGCACCTACCTGATCTGATCACGGCAGAAAGGAAAGTTCAAAATGTCGACGGTGTGGAAGTTTTATTTTTGGTTGGTGAGGATGTTGAATTCAGAAGATTGATGGACTACGTTAAGTCTCGCTATATCGTCCCCAGTCGGAAATATTTTTCCAAAGTAGCCTTAACTGAGTTACAAGCCGTCATTTCCGACGTCATTGAGAAGCTAATAGCTGATAGCACTTGTGTGAGTTTTACCAGACATTTAGACGTCGTGTTAGCCCCGTTAGCATGATTATTCTTACGGCACAATGGAAAGACAAAAACTTTGATCTTAAAGTCTGTCCTTCATGCACAGAGGTGCAGAGGATCCACGCTGCAGCTAGAACAATCCTCCACAAGTGAGCCAGCATCGCAGGTGACTAATGCTAATGAATAACATTTAACACTTGTCATTTAATATAAGTTAAAGTGATATGCATATCATATGGCTGTTACTGAATATGTCACCAGCTCTTACAGCTGTTGCACAATTTTTGCAGCAAATAAGCCTAAATAAGAGGAATATGTTCTGACAAAGTATATAAAATATCAGCATCAGTTATCGGCCAAATAAGTTTTAACATATCGGAAAAAATCCAGTATCATGCATCCCCATCTGTAACAGAATGCAAATTATTCAACCTTCTTGTCGGTGAGTTTCTTGCCGGGGTTCGTCTCCTCCGGGTGATAGAACCAGTTGACCCGGACCACCATGTTGCTGCCCCAGGACTCCCACATGCTCTGGATGCGACCGATGAAGGGCAGGTTGGGCCGCCCGGCAGACAGGAACACGGCGCAGTCTCCAATGCGGATCATCTCTCGGCCACGCACGATGGCCTTGTAGAAGAGTTTCTTGGCCTTGCCCTTCATGCCGCGTCTCTGGAGAGGACAGAAAAATGTCTTCAGATGAAAGCAGCTAGGTGGTTTTTGTTAAGGGGTGGGGGAGGTAGTTTTTCTCACCTGAGTGGGTTTCCCAAACCACTTCCAGAGCTGCCTGGCTGGAAGAAAAGCAGAGATTTTGGGTCTGTTCTCCACGCTGGGGAGCCTCTGTCGTTTAGCCAGCTCCTTGGTCGTTGGGAGGTGGACCCCCTCTCTCCGTTTGGGTCGCTCCACCTTCCCCTCTCCTCCGCTGGGCTTCGGCTTGGGAGGACGGCCCCTCTGCCCGGAGCCCTTCCCGGTGGTGGGTTTAGGAGGTTTAGTGGGGGCCGGAGCATCGAGGACTGGAGGGGTTGACGGAGAAGAATCAGATTGAGACTGCTCTTCCTCCTCCACTTTGACTTCAACCTCCTCCTTCACCTCCTCTTCCTCTTCTTTCACCTTTTCATTAGGTTTTTCCTGCACTGACTGTTTTGGAATCGGGGCGAGCGAAGGCATCGGGGTCCTCTCTTCATCTGAGCTGCAGGAGGAGTCATCAGTCGACGAAGAGGAGGATGATGACGATGAAGATGTGGAGGAACCAGAGCAGGATGAAGAGGAGGACGAGCAGCTCGAGGTGCATTTCTTCTTTTTGGTCTTTCCGTTTTCCGTTTCTTCCTCCGACTCGGAGCTGCTGCTGCTCTGAGACTCCTCTTTCATTCGTCGCTCCTCCCTCTTCTCCAACTCCTTACTTTCCTCTTTTTTAACCTTCTCCTCTCTTGTGTCTGTCTCCTGTCCTCTCCCACAACTGTCCGCCTTGTCCTTAGCCAGCCTGGATGACTTATAGGCAGCCTCCTTGTCAGGTAGAGCGGCCTCTCTCTCCGGAGCTCCAGGTTTAGTCCTCAGCAGCTTCTGATCGGCTGCGGGGCCATGGTCTCGCCGGAGGCCCCGACCCTCCAGCAGCATCAAAGCCTTGGTCTTCTTGGTCTTCGGGGAGGTGACGCCTTCGTGATCGAGCTTAACCAGAGGCTCGGCTGACAGGGACTTCCGCCTCACTGCAGCGCTGAGAACAGTTTGTCCGGAGCTGGAACTCGGCCTAGGAACGGTTCTGGAGGACATCTCTGATGGGATCTTCAGTTTGGGCTTGGAGATGGAGGTGGGGGACAAAGAAGATGATGGTCTGGAAGTTAAAGAGGAGCTGCCTGTGGACAGCCTGGAGACTGGGCTGGGGAGTATTCCAGAGCTGTGGCGAGGGTCTGAGGAGGGCTTAGTTTTGGGTGAGGAAGCGGAGGTGGGTCTGGGGGTGGATTTGGGTAGACTGGATGATACGGTCATACCGGGCCTGGACATGGGCCTGCTGGTGGTGGGACTGACTGTGCGCTGGCTGCTGTACGAGCTGAGGTTGGGTTCACTGTACAGGTCCACAGTCAGGACCTTCCCGTAGGTGGAAGGGTAGAGGGAAGGGGGGAGGGCCCGGACTGGTTTTGAAGGCTGGGTTGAGCCGCTCTTTCTCTGAACCGGAGCAGGAAGAGCAGGGCTGCTTGTGGGGGTCATGGAGTTCTTACGGCCCGGTTTTGCCTGCAATCCCATTGTTGGTCGAGAAGCAGGTCGGGGTTTCTCCTGAGCAGTTTTCTGGACTGACGAGCTCCTGTCCTGGGTGGACTTTGCTGGAGGTAGGGGTCTCTCAACAGGCTGGGGGGAGGACGATAAAAGATCATCTTTCTCCTGACCATCCTGACTTTCAGAAGATTCTGAGGAGGAAAGAAAAAGGTTAATTTTTATCCAAACCTTAGAGCAGCCGAGTTTATTCTCAGTCTGCCGACATTTTTGTCACGAGGCCTTTTGATTTTTGTGGTTTTGTTCAGGGCCAACAAATCAGCAAGGAAACATTTCTAAAATGAAAACGTTACATTCCAGAAGTGCTTACAGAGTCAGAAAAACACCCGGCGTCAGCAGCTGGGGACAGGCGTCGTATTTTACAGACTGAGCTTCAGACAAACAGCAGCAATAAACTGATATCATGACAAAAATACAGAGGGCTGATCAGAACGTAAGCATTTTTATTCAAGGATAAAGATCACTCACGCAAAAGACGAGCAAGAGATTTTAACTTTTAAATACACTGTAAGCTCTCGCACGGTCTCGGAGATAAAACACGGTAAAATCATGCCAGCTATAAACAGTTTAAAACTCATTTCACCATTAATGACTTCTGGATATTAAAGGAGCTGTAAACAGTTTTAAATGGGGAAGAGAAGAACAGGATGCTCAAGAAAGTTACATCACAAGAATTATTGTTCAGTCAGTTGCCTCAGGCCTAATTCTGTCTGCTCTAACCCTGATAAACAATGTGACAATTAACAGGAGGAGTAATATTTGATCCAGCTGTATTTAGATTTACATCAAATCCTGATTCACCCCTTTATTGGCGTTTTAGCCCTACTTCTGTTTTTCATGTTTGTGCTGCCAGTAAGGAGAACATGAGGAGGCAAGGCTCTCTTACCCTTAGAAAAGATTTTTCACTTCAAAACAAAGAGATGTGAGGTGTGGCTGCAAAGACGCTCACAAATTAAAGTATTTTCCCAGTTACAAACATTTTTATCGTCAAACACCCACTGCTCTGATGGAGTCGCTGCATGAAGTTTGGTACGAGTGATTCTTTCCTGACAAAATTAAATTATGTAAAGTCAGTTGCAGACCTAACGAAATACAAAGGAGAGACATTCTGTGACGAAGACTGCACCCTCTGGGTTGGAGTGAATCTTTGCTTCAAGCAAAGTTCAACTGTCTGCGTGTTTTGTTCACGGGGATAAAGGATGGAGCCCGAGAAGGATCAACGGATCAGGGCCTCATCTGCAGTAATGAAGGCGTTGCTCCGGTTTGTCTAGTCAAGGAGCTAAGCAGAAAGGCAGAGCTCTTGATTTACTGGTCTGTCTACGTTCCAACCCTCACTTATTCATGTGACGTGACCGAAAGGCTGAAGAGATTCTACTGTAGAACGGCCGGGCTCGGCTGTAAAGGTAAGGAGCTTCAAAATGTGAAGGGAGCTTAAGCAGAGCGCTTTTCCTCATTAAAAAGAGTTATCTGAGGTTGTGCTGGTATTTTAATCCGATGCCCAAACAACATTCTGTACACCTCCCTCTGGAGGTTTACCGAGACCAGATCACTAGGAGGAAACCCTGAAAAAGATCTTGAATTCACTGGAGGGTTGTATAGAGAATGGGCAACCATGTGATGGCACATTGCATTCTGGGATTGTGGTTGCCATTTTTAAGGACTCGAAAAACGCAAGCAACAGAAATGGACCATTGGAAGAGCAAGGCTCCTTACGTTGAAAAGCTAAACAAGGATGCAAAGGAGCGCTACATAGAGAAAATAAGGGTAATTAATGGGCTTGATCCATACGAACATCATGCGTGGACAAGTGATTTTAACGAGTTACTGCCATTAATGTTTCCAGATTTGTTTAGCTACCTTGTTTGTGGAGTGAGCACGGCAGATTCTGATTGTATTATATTATTGTATTTCACTTAGACCACACTGGATAAGGTTTACTTTCAGTGTGCTAAACACTATTAAAGTTTAATGAGCCACAGCCATTCAGCCCTTACCTGATTTGGGTTTTGGTTTGCGACCAGGTTTCCCTTTGATCCTGGGCGTGGCCTCCTCTGGTTTTGCTCCCGTCTCTTTGCTGCATTTGCGGACCCTCCTCCTGGACGGTCCCGCCACAAGCAGTGCGGGGGACGGCTCGGCGCCTGGACAGAAGAGGAGTCCACATCGTTGAGTCTGAACCTTTCACTTCTCACATAAGAATAAAGAACGCTGACGTCTCAGCAGTAAAAGGAAACGAAAACGTCTGAATCAGCTGCTTGTTGTGTTTAATCTGCTTTAACTTCCTAACTGAACCAGAGTGTTAATCTGTTTATTGACTCATGAAAACATATTAAAGGCACTTTGCTTTCATGATGTAGACAGTCGCCTCTGTACTGAAAAACATAAACAAGTCTGTAAATAAAATGCTTCGAGCCACAATCTCAGTAAATATTTAGTTTGTATGAAGCAAATTTGTTTTATATTTTTATTTTCATCGCCTTGTTTGAGGTGAAAACTTGTAAGAGACACACCAACAGAGAAACCATGGTGGGATTGAGCAGGTGTGTTTTAGTAGCAGCCGACTGGGAAATAAAACTCCCATTTACGACTATATGTGAACATTTTATGAGGAGAAGTTTGTGTGTGCTCCAGAATAATTAAAGGGTGAGGCCGTGCGCGCTCTCACAGTGGATCTTGTAGTCAGGCGGCAGCAGTCTGATGTGGGAGAGGGGGATGCGGCCCGTGTCTCCATCGTCAAACTCCACCGTGATGAGGTCGTCATTCTCGTCGATGTCTGAACTTCCTGTTTGGGAGAAAATCAGAAAATTCAAAAAGCTGACGGCAAACACAGCTGCAGTGATAACTGAAGGGGAGAGGTTTGAGCTTGCTCATGGATGTTTGTGTGTCGTCACACCGTTGACTACAGTTCCAGGGTAAAGGCAGCGGTACTGCTGACTCCAGTAGGCAGCGATGCGGGTGCCTTCTGGGAGGTAACGCACTGATGGAGGCTTAACGTCGATTATCTGTAAAGACACAAAGAAGAGCCGTTAGCCACCGACAAGTGTTTTATTTTGCACGTCTGTTTGACACGCTCGTGTTTCCGGATATCACATCCCTTGCACGAGGAGAAATGAGAGCGCCGTGGCCTCTTTACTCGTGAGAAAGTTGCAGTTTACTTACAGCTTCTTGCAGCAGCTGCTCCAGGCAGTAGATGTGTGGTCGGTTTCCTCTCTCCCCCTCCACCACCACGCTGTAGCTGCAGCGGGGAAATACAGGAGAGGGAAGCTGTGTTTAAAAGTCAGGGATGAACGTGCTGAAGCCAAGGTTTGTCATTACAGAGAAGAGTTCACTGTGAAGAAGGTTTCTTTGCCCAAGGCAGATTTGACGTTTTAGATCTTTTGACTTCCTGGATGTGAACCAACCAGCAGAGGAGCGTTTTGTCTTTGACTACCAATGCAGCACTTTAGTTCTGGATAAAATCTGTGGCTAAGTATCACAACAGGACATTCTCTATCTGATAAGACTAGATAAAAACAGGTTTAAGTTGTACAGGTGGAGTTCTTAAGCTCCTGCAGCCTCTCCCCTAAACAAACAAACAAACAAAAAATGTTTTGTTTCACTCATGATTGATGTTTGAGGGGAAAAAAGTAATTCAGTGTTCTTATCTTAATGCTTTCATGGGGGTTGCTGTTCTTCGATGGCTCTCTGTGTTTTAGATTTTTATCAAGTTTTACAGCTAAGCTCGTCAGTATCATTCCTGGTAGCTAATCAAACTACTAGCAAATCAAGAGCTAAAAGAACTCCACATGTTTAGGTACTGGGTGGCTTTTTATTTAATCTTATATTTAAACAAAGTCCATCTTTTATTTAGTGGTCATCTGGGAAAAGCTACCAATAATTCTGGGACCATAGCTTGTCCACCATTTCCAGTTTTAGTTGAAGGAGTTTGCCTCAAATGTAAATTAGCTGACCCTGAAACTGTGATAAAGTCCAACAAAAACACGCACTGGATGAAACTTCAAACTGCTCAGGAAGCCCGACACTCTTTTTTTATGTTTTAGGGATTCTGACATTTATGCTGAATAACCCAGTGAGAAGAAATTCAATCTGCAGATTAATTGTGTTCGGAAAAACAACAAAGAATTTAAAATAAAAAACTATCCCTGTTCTGACAAATTATATCCAGATGTCTATCTTTCTGTTTTAAACATTGAGCAGATGAACGTTTCTGCACGATTAAATGAACAGCTTTACAGTTTGGCTAATAGATGATTAGCATTCTTGCAACTGTGAGAAATAAATCCTGCACGTTAAATACAAGTAGAGCTACTTCACTACGCCTTTAGCATACAAACATTAAAGTGGTCTAATGGTTTTGGTTACTCACATGTCAGGGGAGTGCACTGTGTTCACGTGTCCGGCGTAAAGAAGCTGGTCCTCCATTGGGATCAACACCCGGAGCCCGTCCACCAGAGAATCTTTATCAAGCACACACTGCACCGGAGCTGAACACAACACAACTACACATCAGTGTGAATTCACTAAAACCAGAGGCTGGCTGTCGGTGTGTGGGCTCTGACCAGGCGTAGTGGATCTCTCTGATGCGCAGTTACTTCGTGCGGGGACAAGTTCATCCTCACTGAAGCTACTGTCTTGGTTTGGCTCGAAATCTTCATCTGCAGCCATGCTCTCCATCAGACGGCTCACGGCACCCCTGGACGGCTAAAATAGAACAAAAAACAGTTTGGTTCGTATTAAAAAGACATACACTTAAAAATACTTAGCAGCAGAATCAACAAGTAAAATACTATAAAGTCATGGTGAAAGGAAAAGTCCTCTTTCTGTTTTAGAGTTTAAAGTGTGTGTGTTTGGGATCTTTATTTCGTCTCATGACCCAGTTTGGTCCAAGCTCCAGCTGTTGGGACAGATGGTCTCACGTCTGACTCTATAAAATACTTTGGTCAACAGAGGAGTTCATGACTGACTCAGTGACTGCAGGGTACCCAGAGATCCCAGGACCAAAACAAGCCCAAATCATCACACCTCCACCACTGCGCCTGACAAATGGTACGATGCATTTGAGCAGATACGTTGCCTGACGTGTTGCTGCGCTTCGAGTCCAAATATCTCTTCCTGGATCTCATCAGCCCAAAGAACAACACTCCACAGGTCTGGTCTTAATATTCATTCAGGTGCAACTCTGCAAACCAGAGTCAGTCTGTGAACTTCTTTTGGAGAGGACTCCTGTAACCAAACAGCCATATTTGTTCAGTGTTTTCTAATTAAACTTTTCATTAGCTTCAACCTTTAACCGCCAGCTGAGACCTGAAGAGTCTGTGGTGGAGCTTTTGGTCTTTTTACCATTTCTCTGAGCATTGCACGGTCTGACCTCGGGGTGAATTTAATGGATGTCTTATTTCTGGAAAGCTTTGCAGCCGTTTTAAACAAATTACACTTATATTAATCTTTCTTGCTGAAGAAGGATGGACTCAAAGTTGTTCTAAAGTGGCACTAAATCATCCACCAGATTGATGGGCAGCAATAGTTGCTTCTTTAAGTTCATTGCTGATGTCTTTCCATTTTGGCATTGTGATAAACTCACATCTGTCTGCTCCAGAGCAACAAACTGCTAAAAGTCCTGCTTGGTGGTTAATCAGTACATCTGAGTAGCAGAACCTGCAGGGATCGTTGATAAAGACCAGATTATTTTGTCTTGTTTCAGACATCTTTGAATATGGAAGAAGGTTGTTATTTTGCACATAAATATGTTCTTAAAATATTTTTTCAAAGTAAAAACAAAGTCTACAAGGTCAGACTATTTGATATGTAATTTTATCAATCAACCACACAAACAGGTTGACACACAACACGGTTAACTTTTCAAAGTCCAACAGCAGCACCTTCTGCTCCCAGAACTCACTTCAGCTGCTTTTAATGTTTCCAACAACAAGTCTGAGCAACAAGTTCACACAACACACGGAGTTTACCGTCATCACAACAAAACTAGTTAACAGCTCATTTCTTGCAGTCTCGCCTTTTTTAAAAACTGTTTACTTGTGTCGTAAACACACACGTGAGCAACACACACACACACAATCATTTCCAAGTTTGCTTCTTTATTGTAGGACGTGCACATGAAGGTAAAAGGTAATTAAGTTCTGATCCGTAGCGGCTCAGTTCATCCTCCCACTGACCTCTCTGGTTTTGCTTTTAGCCTTTGGTTGGCTCTTGTGAGCCGGGCTCAGGCTCCGAGGAGCAGGACCGTCGGTGGTTGGACTGCACAACCTGGATGGGCTGACAGGCAAGGGGGAGTCCTTTGGCTTCTTTTTCTGTTTTTCAAAACGACACAAACGTGCGAATGAATAAATGTGCGCACCAAGCCTCAGCTGGACACACAAACGCACAGACTGCAACGTTCCCAGGCTGCCTGCAGTTGTTCGTTCTTGTCAACAACACGACAGTCAGCAGGGGAATGCTGCAGAGACACAAGTACAGAGAAGCCTTGCTGGAACTGACACACTCATACACACCTAAATACACACAAATATTTACACTGTACACACACTTTGAAGCAAGAGGTGGAGCCATAACAAAAAAATTGGAAGATAATGAAACAGGAGAGAAAACGGATCAAGCTGAATTATTGACATACTTTCACCACATCTTTCCCCTCCCGGCTGGGTGGAGTGATTTTGGGTTTGGAGGGCGTCTTTGGGGTGAGAGATGGGGCTGAACCGGAGGAGGAAGAGGAGCTCTGAATGGTGGAGGAAGGGGCAGAAAGAGACATCTGACTGGCTGTAGTGGTGGCATCGTGGAGGAAGATCCTCTCGCTGCGCCGGCGGTTCCAGCCCTCGTCCTCGCTGAAGCCCCCGAAGCCGGCAGCGAGGTCGAAACTGAACCTTCTCTGTGAGCGAGGCGAGGGGCGCGGTTTGGCCAGAGACTTCCGTTTGACAGGCAGCGCTTCGTCGCGCTTGGTGGGGCTGGGCTGGTCGGCTCGGTGGGTTGCTGGAGGCAGGAGGGGGAGCTCTGGGGCGGCACGCTTCCCGTGCAGCAAGGATGGAAACTTTCTCAGCCTCAAGTCTGAGCCCGAGTCTGACCACTCACATTCAGATGAACCTGAAGGAGGAGAGGAGAAGGCCAAGTGATGCAAAAATGCCTTTTTAAAATGTTTATCAATTCTTTTAATCGTGTTTTCGTTATGCAAAATAAATAAATAAACCATTTTATTCAGCGTCATGGCGTGGTAGCAATACTTGTACAGTACAGCAAAAAAAGTGATGCATTTCCCTCAAACAACAATGAGATTTCATAACGGGACTCAGTTTGGATGTGAACTTTGTATTCGGCGATGATCTGAGGGAAAACTACAGCATAAGTCTTATAAAATGAAGAGACACGCTGAGTGAAACAAGACAAAAATGCCTCATTTTGACTGGATAACCAGGATAAGGAGTGTAAGGTTGATAGGAGTAAAGCAAAATTATTTACTGGTAGTAAAAATTGTGGACAGCTCAAGGTCCAAAGTTGAACATTTTGTGGTAAAATCTTTTAAATATAATTAAACTTTGGCGGTTATATAAAAATACCAAAATACCAGTTCAGTAATTTAAAATCGAACCTTCTGTGACCCATTTACACTTTGGATGTTTCTACTGTGAAGCATGATTGAGCTTTAGAGCTCAAAAGACGACTGCATTTTCCCCACTCACTTGGCCATAAAATCGTTGATTATGTGGAAATTCTTCGCAACATTTTGTGACTTTTGTTACGCTGTAAGATGCTGGCCTATCAAAAGTCATAGCACGCCTTTCCAATTGATTTGTACATTGACCCTAAAGCTGCAGAAGGAGTAGTGAACAGAGATTTCTGACAAAAACAGAGGAATAATGAATAAATAGTACAGTAGTCCCTCGCTACTTCCCGGATCGTTTAACACGGACTCGCTCTTTCGCGGTTTTTCAAAGTAAGAGTGGACATGACACACAGTTGGCTGATTGATGGATGAGCCGCACGATCGGCATGGATTGTTTATTTAAAATAAGTTATTTAAAATTATTTAGCACCTGCTTCACCTTTGTGCAGCCCACAGGAGAAGCTTCCTCCGACATCATGTCAGGATCTCCGCTCTGCAGCAAAGAAGTGGGCGTGGCCGAGAGCGTAGATGACATGCTGCGCTCTTTTAGAGCGTATAGAGTTTAGAAAATTGTTCGGGACATTGCAAGAGGGTGGGAAGGGTTTAAAACGCCTTAATATAGACCTGTATATAAATACTAAAATAAACTACTTACTACTACTTGTGTACATAATTTCGTCCCATCTCATGTACCACATGAGATGGTAATGACAATAAAGTTTACTTGACTACTTTACCCCTACTTCGTGGTTTTTCACTTATCACAGGGGGGGCATGGTCCCAAACGAGGGACTACTGTATTAAACCTTTTAAAAGAAAGTTGATCTATATTGAAAATTTGGAAGCACCTGCTTTGGCACACTTCAAAATCTCTTCAGAAATATACTAGTTTGGCTCGGTTTGCCTAAAAACAAGAGTCAAATGTGGCTCATTCAGAGTCTTGCGTTTTACCCAGAGTGCTTTGCCTGCCGCAGCGTTTCCCGTCATGAAGTAGCCTCAGCGGGGCTGGACTCACAGGGAGCGCGCTCGCCGCAAACTGAGCCAGCAGCCCCAGCCCGCTCTCCTCACAGCCGATGTCGTCGAAGTCGGACTCTTCCTCCTCCGCTGAGGTCTCTGTCAGAGAGAAGACCATGAGCTCACAGACGAACATGGCAGCTCAAGCAACGTTTCTAACGACTGCAAGCTGTCAAACAAACAAACGAGGAATCTTAGAGTAACAAACAATCTGCACTGCCACACATCTGAACAAGTAGGCTGGTGAAAAACAACAGCAGAGCGAGAGGAAATACACTGTCCAAACCACTGCAGCCTGTTGTCACACTGGAAAGCTGCACAGGAAAATACAGAAGAGCCAGGCTTGTGTCTTAAACATGCATGTGACGAACACACACACACACCTGCTGAGACAGAGTGAGTCAAACTTGGGCTTAGACACCATTTGTTATTGAGAAAATAAATACCAGGAAGGAATGGACTCCCTTTCCTCTGATAAGCCAGCAACACACACAGAGTTAGCTGTTTATTACAAGAAGTTAGCGGTTAGGTCCATGACAGCAGATGAGTCGGAGGAGTGTCTCCTCAGGGGGGTTAGAGTTAACAGTGAAGGTGGATGCACAGCACGAGACCTCTTGACCTTAAAACATCATCTGAAAAGTTGGGTCAATAACGAGGACGAGCTTATCGTTAGCCTGGAGGTCCCCAGCCCTGATCCTCACAGCCCCCTGTCCTGCACCTTTTAGCTGTTTCCCTGCTTCTGTAATCAATGAGTCACTGAGAGACTTCTGCTAAACTTGATGACACTGAGTAGGTAATTAAATTATTTGAATCAAGTGTGTTGAAGCAGGGAAACAGCTAAAAAATGCCTGACAGTGGGCTACGGGGACCAGCGTTGGGGACCTCTGCAGGTTTGACCTTTTTCAAGCTGGTTTTAGTTCTCACCAAGGGGGGCCGTTTCACAAAAATAGGAACCCAGGACTAGAGAAGACAGTCTTGTCAGAACATCCCAGCCTAACTGGTTTCACAAATGCAGAGTCACTTAGCCTGACAGCAACAATAATACAGGTCAAACATGCTTGCATGTCTGACATCAGTATGAGCAGCAGTTTGCAGCACGTCTACACACAAACAACTTTAACCATAAAAACTACGACAAGCACAGTTTGGTTACAAAATTTAACTACAGTCTGTGATAAAAACTACGACAAGCACAGTTTGGTTACAAAATTTAACTACAGTCTGTGGGCCTAGTTATGGCGCTTCAGGCAAAGTACACTAAAAAGAATGACATGGATCAAGTGTTTGAGATAAATGTACAAAAGTATACATTACTGATCCTTAGCAGATCATGTAAACGCTTGACTAACAGGCTAACTGTACAGAATAAATAATGGTTGTGTCACTGTCAACAGCTTCTGTGAAATCAAACCAGGCATTAATTAAATCAGAATACCCAGAAAATCCAGATTTTGTAAAATAGCCCCCCCAAGGACTGCAGTTTCACATGCAGAAATCAAATTTAAACGAGCCTAACCCTAGTGCGGTGCTGTGGATCCACTGTGTTAACGGTAGCAGACAGACGTTACAAGCAGGCACTGAGAGGACAGCCCTGTGAGGCCCCTTTGGCATTGTGCTCATATGTCATTTGAGTAACCATGGTTACAGCCTCTTTTTCAGTCCAACACAAAACGTCTTCCTGTAAACTTTTAGGCCGTCAGGAGACACTGAGTCGGGTAAGTGGGGGTAACCATGGCCAGCATTGAAGAGCTTCAATTCGTGAGAACAATAAACAAAACAAAACAAACAAAAAAATAAAGCAAGTTAAAAAAAATTCTGTGTATCTCAATTTCTGTTTAGGTTAGTGTTCAGTAGAATATAAAGGGAGGGGCACTTCCTACTTACAGAGCAGGTGACAGGGGTGTGGCCTCAGGCAGGGCGGGGCAGCGACGGGAGCGCGACCTCACCTTAGCACAGACTAGCTTGCGCAAAGCCTTTAGCCACAGCGTGGGATCGCCGCAGCGAGGTCATGTAGGCTCAAGGCTGCGCTAGTCCTGGCCAAGCTTCTGTAAAGTCGCAGTAGCAGCAGCACAAGCACATGGAACAGGCTGAGAGACACTCAAAGCATCATGGTTAGGAACAAAAAGTGGGGGTCGGAGGGAGGAGAGGGAGGGATCGAGGGTGAAGAGGGGGGAAGTGAGAGGACACATCGAGGTGTCAGAGAGAGCAGGGAAAAGGGTTATTTGAAGGTTTAGTAGACAAACAGGAGGAGCTCTATTGTCCAAATATCCCCCAAATTGACCGTGATGCATTCACTTCCCCACGATAAACTGAGCCACATCATCAGTAAACAGTGATAAAAAAAAAAAAAACGACAGCCAACTCCAAAACAAGGCCAACTAGAATTACAAACCAACTTATTTTATGAGTTTTTACACCGACAACTAATCTGTTCAGATTCAGCTATGCTAAACGTCTGTCAGCATTTCCTGTTTTCCAACCGTTTCCAGGAGAACTGAAGGGATATTTGACGAACAGAGCACTAACGGATGTGTGAGGTGCAGTGGCAGCTGGACAGACTGACAGAAACGACAAACGGATGAAGCAGACACAAGGACCACAGCACTTTGCAATCGTACCAATCAAATCAGCCACTTTAATAAAGCTCAGAGGTACCAAACTGCAATACAACTTTTTTGAGGAAGAACAAAAAAAAAAGAAAAACATCTCACAATTCACATGGTTTGTACAAATGCTACAAAAACAATTTGCTTTCCAGGCGATAAAAACTCCATAGAAATTGGTAAACTCTTAAAAAAACAACAAAAAACCCAAAACAAAATACTGCAACTTTGCAGACAAGCCAGCAGCAAGAGAGGTAGGGATCGTCGAGCTAAAGCACAGTCTGAACACAGCTACTTTAGCAAAAGGCATACAGAGACGGGCCATGAGGAGGCAGAAAGACACGATGTTGTCTGACTCAACGCTAAGACAGCTCGGAGCGCCAAGATTCGGTCAGTAACCTTGATCGAAGGAGTCGTCAGAGGAGCTGAGGCCCGCCTCCTCCAGCAGCAGCGATAAGTGCTTGTGTTTCTTCTGAGACTTCTTGCTGGACAGCAGGGAAGTCGGGGACGACGTCGGCCGCCTCTTCCTGGTCTGGTTGCCGTGGGGATGTGTTGCCGAAAGAGGAGGCCAGCCCCCTCGGGCGGAAATGAGCTCTTCCGAGTCGGAGTCTAGTGTGGAGAAAATGCAATTAATGATTTATGATACAAGGAAAACAAAAACAGCTAAGATTTAGCAAACAGCTCAAACTGTTTTTTAAAGTACTGAATTAAAAATATGTAAAAAATTAATCCTGAAAAGGTGAGTTCTGTAAATATTAGGGCTCCACAATGAAAGCATGCATTTGAGTTATTGAATACAGTAGTCCCTCGTTTATCGCCGGGGATCCGTACCATGAAGACCCACGACAAGTGAAAAACAGCAAAGTAGGAACAGTAGTACAAGTAGTTGGTACTTGTTTATTTGAGT